AGTGCTGAGATTACACGCGTAAGCCACCACACCTGGCCCTGATGCTAAATACTCTTTTTTTTTTTTTTTTTTTTTTAAATTGAGACAGAGTCTCATTTTGTCACCCTCGGTGGTAGAGTGCCGTGGCCTCATAGCTCATAGCAACCTCAAACCCTTGGGCTCAAGTGATCCTCTTGCCTCAGCCTCCCTCGTAGCTCAGACTACAGGCACCCGCCACAAAGCCCAGCTATTTTTTTGTTTTTGTTTTAGCAGGCCCTGGCTGAATTCAAACCTACCAGCCCCAGTGCATGTGGCTGGCGCCCTGACCACTGAGCTGTGGGCACCCAGCCAATGCTGAGTACTCTTATCCCTATATCCCACATGAGACCTGAAGTACAGAGATAAGAAAGCTCTTACTCAGGGCCACACCGGGCAGAGCTGGGGTCAATTCCTGACTTGTGTAGGGATGGAGGGAACAGAGTCATGACACCTGGTGGTCAGGAGCCCAGGCCCTGCACAGGTCCACTGTTCTCAAACCCCATATCCTTCGCTGCATCCAGCCACAGCAACCCCCATGAGATTCCCCTCACCCTGCACTCTCTTCCCTTCGTACAGGCTGTATCTGCCACCAGAAACACCGTTCTTCCGTCTCCTTTTCCTGCCTGCCTCCTCCCTCCTGCTTAATCTTTCACAACTTGGCTCAGCCATCACCTACCTCCTCCAGGAAGCCTTCCTGAGCCCTTCTCCCAAGCCACTTTATTTATTTATTGACAGAGTCTTCTAGGTAGAGTGATGTGGCACCATACATAGCTCACAACAATCTCAAATTCTTAGGCTTAAGTGATCCTGTTGCCTCAGTGTCCTGTATATATCTGGGACTACAGGTACCCACCACAATGCCAGGCTAATTTTTCCATCTGTGGTTTTTTTTTTTTTTTGAGATAGAGTTGCCCTGGGTAGTGTCGTGGCATCACAGTTTACAGCAACCTCAAGCTAGTGGGCTTCCAGAGGTTCTCAACCTGTGGGTCGCGACCCACAGGAACTGTATTAAAGGGCTGCAGCATTAGGAAGGTTGAGAACCACTGGAAGGGATTCCCTTGCCTCAACCTCCCAAGTAGCTGGGACTACAGGTGCCCACCACAATGCCCGGCTATTTTTTGTGGTTGTTGTTGCAGTTGTCATCGTTTAGCAGGTCCAGGCCAGGCTCAAACCCATCAGCCCCAGTGTATGTGGCCAGCACCCTAACCACTGAGCTATGGGCACTGCCAACACCTGGCTATTTTTAAAGATGGGGGGCGGGGGGTCTCACTCTGGCTCAGGCTGGTCTTGAACTCATGAATTCAGGTAATCCACCCACCTTAGCCTCCCAGAGTGCTAGGATTACAGGCATGAGACATCACGCCTGGCCTCCTAAGCCACTTTAAACTGTGCTTCTGTGTTGGCAGTTAACATCTCCTGGGCACAGTCTGTGAGGTGCTGTGCTCAGTGATGTTGCCTGGATTATCTCATTTCATCTATTTATTTATGTATTTATTTTAAGGCAGAGTTTCACTCTGTTGCTCTGAGCAGAATGCCCTGGCGTCATAGCTCACAGCAACCTCACACACTTGGGCTCAAGCGATCCTCCTGCCTCCGCCTCCTGAGTAGCTGGGACTATAGGAACCTGCCACAGCGCCCAGCTGGTTTTTCTATTTTTAATAGACACAGGGTCTCAGGATCTTGCTCTTACTCAGGCTGGTCTTGAACTGCAGCCTCCCAGAGTGCTAGGATTACAGGTGTGAGCCGCTGTGCCCAGCCTCATTATATCTCCGTAGCAGCCTGGTGAGATAGGTACTATTATCAGCTCCACTTTACAGCTGGAGAAATTGAGGCTGACTGAGCTTCAGTGACTTGCCAAAGGTCATACAGCTGGTTTAATGAATGAATCATGGCAGAGCTGGAGCACATGTGAGAGCCTGCAGGGAAGGGAATCTCTGAGATCACTCACACCTTGGAGTCAGGAGGTAGATCTTTGTCACCTCTGGGTCCCCAGAGCTGGCACTGAGTAAACATTCAGGGGGCGTAAACTCCTGGAGTCGGGACCAATTACATAATGTGCGGGACTCAGCACAAAATGGAAATGCAGGACAGGGCTCCCTTGATAAGACTATTAGGAATTTCTAGACCGTGATGACAGAGCATTAGATGAAGCACAGGACTCTCCGAGCCCAGAGCCCCATGAGACTGCACAGGTTCTGCGCCAGAGAAGCCAGAGCTGCCTGGGCTCTGAGTGAGCCCCGTCTCCTCACCCCTGCTCACCATCGACATCAGCACTCATCAGGGCAGCCTTCACCTGGTCCGGCGTCAGGGAGAAGCCCACGTGGAACAGGATGTTCTTCAGGCTCTGCGCGTCCACCTCGCCAGGGCCATTGAAGATCTCAAAATAGCTGCGGAAGGCTGAGGGGAGGCCGGGGTTAGGTGGGGGTGGGGGCATTCTTGCCCCCCACATTCATCCCATTTCCCCAACTTTCCTCCTGCCCACCATCGGAGGGGCAAAGATCATTCAAGAGTGAAAGCAAAGGCACATGGTCCTCTTGACTCATCTCACTCTCCATCCAGTCCAAGGGTTTGACTGGGAGGCAAGAGCTAAGCTAACTAGTGGCCTCCGCCTGGCACCAGAAGCACACCCACTTTAGGACACCCTACTAAGTGCCAAGCACTGGGCTAGACTTTTTATAGCCTTGTTCTTATTTACTTATTTATTTATTTGCAGTTTTTGGCCGGAGCTGGGTTTGAACTCACCACCTCCAGCATACGGGGCTGGCGCCCTACTCCTTTGAGCCACAGGCGCCGCCCTATTTATTTATTTTTGAGACAGAGTCCCAGTCTGCTGCCCAGGCTAGAGTGCTGTGGCGTCATCACAGCTGACAGCAAACTCCTGGGCTTAACTGATCCTCTTGCCTCAGCCTCCCAAGTAGTTGGGACTATAGGTGCCCGCCACGATGCCCGGCATATTCTTCTATTTTTAGTAGAGACAGAGTCTCACTCTTGCTGAGGTTGGTCTAAAACTCATGAGCTCAAGTGATCCACCTGACTCTGCCTCCCTGAGTGCTAGGTTTACAGGTGGGAGCCACGTTCTCATTTAATCCTCAAGATATCCTCGTAAGAGTAGAATGCTTAGTCCCTTTGTAAAGATGGGGAAACTAAGGCTTACAGATTAGGTGGCCAGAAACATCTTTCTTGGAGGTGGGGGTTTCACTATGTTGCCCAGGCGGGATTTGAACTCCTGGGCTCAAGCAATCCTCCTGCCTCGGCCTCCTGACTAGCTGGGGCTACAGGCAGGTGCTACCATGCCTGGCTCCAGACAGGCCTTTGAGACTAAGTCCATGCCCTGGACCTTGGTGTCTATAGTCACTTATCCAGATGGACACAGCTTCTGGGATATCTTCAGTTGTCTGGACCAGAGCAAAGGACAGGAAGGATGGCAAGAAAGTCCCAGAATAGTGCCCACTGGTATAAAAGCTGCATACTAATCATAACGTGTGGTGTCTGGTTTTTCAGCCACAGCAACCTCAACAGAACTTAGCGACTGGCTCTACCACAAAGCAGGGGTGCTGGTTTGTGTCCCCCAAATTCTTCTGTTGAAGCCCTGAGCCCCGGTAACTCAGAATGTGATTGTTTTTGGAGATAGGGCCTTTTGAGAGGTGATTAGGTTAAAGTGAGGCCATTAGGGTGGGCCCTAATCCAATCTGACTGGTGTCCTTAGAAAGGAAATTTGGACACACAAAGGGACACCAGAGATGCACGTGCACAGAAGAAAGACCACGTGAGGACTCAGTAGGAAGGTGGCCATCTGTGAGCCAAAGAGAGAGGCTTCAGGAGAAACCAACCCTGCTGACACCTTGAACTTGGACTCCAGCCTCCAGAACTGTGGGAAAATAAATGTCTATTGTTTCAGCCACCCAGCCTGGAGTCCTTTGCTATGGCAGCATGAGCTGACGAGGATGGTTGCCATGGGCAAGCCACTGCAGTTCTCTGAGCCTCTATTTCTGTATCTGTATGATGGCGTAACAACAGTACACCCTCTTAGAGCTGTGGTACTAATTCAGCACCTGGTGCACAATAGACTCTGTAAGTCTATAAGCCTCTGACCAACAGCGCTGCACTCTGGAGAAGATGTAGGCCTAGGATTAGGGTTGGGGCGAGTGGAGACCTGCCATAGGCAGGCATATCCCAAAAGGAACCAAAAAATCCAGAACCCTCAAGCAGATGTGGTCCCTCAAAAGGCCTGGAAGTTTAAATTTTTTTTTTTTTTGAGACAGTCTCTCTATGTCACCGTTGGTAGAGTGCTATGGTGTCACAGCTCACAGCAACCTCAAACTCTTGGGTTTAAAAGATTCTCTTGCCTCAACCTCCCAAGTTGCTGGGACTACAGACACCCACCACAACGCCCGGCTATTTTTTTGTATTGTAGTTGTAATTGTTGTTTGGCAAGCCAGGACCAGGTTCGAACGCACCAGCCCCCAGCACCCTAGCCACTGAGCTACAGGCACCAAGCCAATCCCTGGACCTTTAAGTCCCGTAGGAGCAAGGCTGTCAGCCCTTTCCTGAGTTTTAAGTCGAAGTGGCATGTCAGTGACCTGCTGAAGCAGGCGGGACAGTGCTGTGTACAGGACAGTGGCTGGGGGTGGGGGGGGTTAATGCTAAAAGGAGGGAACTTCAAGGGTGAGTCACAGGGGGCCAGTGAGAGGACCCAGGGAAAGCAGGGGAAGGGGCTGCCGTGACCAAGAAGGTTGGGAGGAATGGGAGTGGAAGGACACATCCCTAGTCTTCTAGGGCCAGGACAGGTGGCACCTGTGGCTCAATGGGGTAGGGCGCCGGCCCCATATGCCAGGAGTGGTGGGTTCAAACCCAGCCCCAGCTAAAAACTGCAAAAAAAAAAAAAAAAAAAAAAAAATAGGGCCAGGACAACATGAGTAGTAAGATCACAGGGCTAGCCCTAGCCCCAGGACAACAGAGAAAAGAGCACAGCTCCTCACCCAGGGTGGGTGTTCAGAACTTTTTAACTTTTTGGCAGAGGTGGGATGTGGTGGGAATGGGGACATGTCCAGGGTGGTGGCCTTGTTAAACCCGGTGAGGGGCTGTCTGGAAAGGAGTCCTAGAGCCCTGTCTCCCATCCAGGCTGCTCTAAAGAAGACCAATAGAGTGTGGGCTTGGGTTGAGGGAGGCAGAAACAAAACTTAAAGCCCTTTGTAGGGCTCCCATCATTCTCTCAGAGAGGCAGCTCTGGAACTGGACCTCGAGGCAGAGGACACAGCACCAACTCTGGCTCCCTCACCCAGTGGCGTGGCTCAACCTCCTTCCCTGCACTGTCCCCTCAGGCCAATTGCAAGGCTGTGATGGTCACTGCAGCTGCTGATCTACACAATACCCCACCCGCCATGCACTGCACATCCCACAGGACTGAGGGTTCTGCCTGAGAGGGACTCCCTGCCCTCACCTTCCTCCTGTTGCAGGGTGAGATGTTCCTCGGGTCTCTCCTCCCAGTTCTGATACACCTTTCGGAGGCTGTGCTCTTCCAGCTCCTGCCTGCAGAGGACAGAACCCAGGCCCAGGACAATATCCAGCCACTCTTCCCTGCCCAAGGCTGTCACTGATAGCTGGGGAGGGCCAGGAGAAGATTTAGAAGACAGGAAAAGAGAGTGACAGAGAGAGGAAGGCAGGCAGAGCAGAGGGGGACTAGAGGAGGAGAGACCCCTTCAGAGGGAGTCAGAAGGAGAAAAGGGGTCAGAAATGAGAAAGGGGACAGAGACAGGGCGATACAGAAGACAGAGCTGAGACAAATGGAGAGGGCCAGAGTGAGGAGAGAGGAGAGAGACACACACAGAAAGGAACAGGCAGGAGCAGTGCCAGGGACCAGCGTCTAGGTCAAGGCCCTGGCCTTGGGGAGCCTTTCAGAGGTGGGTGGGTGAGCGGGTGGTGGCTCCTACCGTGCCTTGGCGTAGTAGCTCAGATTCTTCTCGCTGCTCTGGTACAAGAATTCTGTCCTTCTCCAGCCCAGGTCCAGGACGGGGACTGGCAGTACTGGGCCAGGCACTAAGGCTGGGACAGGGGCTCCCACAGGGACAGAGACTGGCCCTGGGGCTGGTGGCCAGTCCCATGGTGGAGCAGTGGCAGGAGATGAAGAGGGGGTCTGAGGCAGGGTCAACGGCAGGCATGGGGCTGAGTTGCTGAGAGGGACTGCAGTGGGCACAGGGATCAGGGTCCTGGGCGACTTGCGGGATGACGACGCCCGGGCCTTTGAGGTCTTCCGATGGGTGGTCTCTGCCTCCTCTACCTCCAGCAAGCACTTCATGAAGCCCTGCCGGAGGCTGCCAAGGTTCTGAGTCCCTGCATCCACCAGAGGCTCCTGAAGCTGCCTCTGCACACAGTCCAGTTCCCGCCTCTCTCCAGCATCCCTCACCTCCTGGGAACAGGGGAAGGCATCCTGGAGGCCTGCAGCTGGCCTGGCTCCCATAGAGCTTCTCCCTGCCACCCACTCTCCACGGATCCTCAAACTGCTCCCTGCTCTCTGAGCCCTTGAAGGATATACCCCAAATCTCACACACATCCCTCTGGGCTCCCACCCCATGTCCTCTCCCACCCTGGACCTGGCACCTCCCAGCTCTGCAGTCTTAAGTGAGCTACTCCTTGTTTGACCTCCAGAACAGGAGGTAAAACGGTAAGCTCCATGTGTGTTGTCTGCCCCTTTTATCCACGTTTACCCAGCAACCAGCACGCAGCAGGCACTCAATAAACTCCTTTCATTCATTCAGCAAACCCAGCCACCTCCTGCACCTGTGTGCTCCCATCAGAAGGACGGGCTGTCCTCAGCCTGCCTGTGACCAGGCCAGGCCTAGATTCTCCCAATCAAAGACTGCACTTGCCACACACTCTCTTTTCCTAAAGCATCAGGTATACTTTCTCCATCAATATATTAACTTCCTTCTTTCAAAACAAAACAAAAACAAAAGCAAACCTTCCTGACACCAGACCCCCCTCCAGCTACCATCTCAGGTCTCTATTCCTTTTTTATCACAAAATTCCTTGAAAGAGGCCGGATGCGGTGGCTCAGGCCTGTAATCCTAGCATTCTGGGAGGCCAAGGTGGGAGGATCACTTGAGCCCAGGAGTTTGAGATCAGCCTGAGCAAAAGCAAGGCCCCATCTCTACTAAAAATAGAAAAATTAGGGTGGCGCCTATGGCTCAAAGGAGTGGGACACCAGCCCTATATGCTGGAGGTGGTGGGTTCAAACCCAGCCCCTGCCAAAAACTGCAAAAAAAAATAAAAAAGAAAAAGAAAAATGAGCTGGGCAAGGTAGAGTGCACCTGTAGTCCCAGCTACTTGGGAGGCTGAGGCAGGAGGAAATCTGAAGCCCAGGAGTTGGTGATTTGAGCCCAGTAAGCTATGATGATGCCACTGCACTCTGTTGCCTGGGTAACAGAGTGAGATTCTGTCTTAAAAAAAAAAAAATTCCTTGAAAGAGTCGGTTGTTCTCTGAGTTCACGGCCCTCCAATCCCCCATCAGGCTTCTGTCCTCCAATCCCCAAAACTGTTCAGCCCAAGGCCCAAAGCCATGGTCAGATCTCTGCCCTCATCTGAGCTGACCCCTCGGCAGCTTTAGACGCAGATGACCACTCTGTCCTTCTGGAAATGCTCTAGACACCCACCTCCCTGGCCACTCCCTGGTCTGCTTCCAGGGGTCCTCCTCACTCTTGCTGGGGAGACCCCAGGATTTGTCTTCACTCTGCTCCCTGATCCGTAGCCACCCCCCACACCTCCCACCCAAATGTCGTCCTCCTTCCCATGACCCCACTTTCTCCACATTTCTTTGTCCTTTCTAACACCAGACATTCTCCTTGATGTCCTTGGGTGTCTAGAACAGGACAAGAGCAGAAGGCCTTCTACTGCTGCCTCCCCAAGTCACCGTCTCAGGTAATGACACCACCTGTCCTCAGGACCCAGACCTAGAATCCTTTTTTTTTTGACAGAGTCTCAAGTTGTCACCCTGAGTAGATTGCTGTGGCATCATAGCTCCCAGCAAGCTCAAACTTTTGGGCGCAAGAGATCCTCTTGCCTCAGATTTTCTATTTTCAGTAGAGATAGGGGTCTTAGTTTTGGTCAGGCTGGTCTCAAATCCTTGAGCTCAAGCAATCCACCTGCCTCGGCCTCCCAGAGTGCTAGGATTATAGGCATGAACCACTGCGCCCAGCCTAGAATCCTTTTTTTCTTTTCCAACTTTTTTTTTATTGTGGTAAAATACATATAACAGTTATCATCTTTATCTTTTTTTTTTTTTTTTTTGCAGCTTTTGGCTGGGGCTGGGTTTGAACCTGCCACCTCCGGTATATGGGGCCAGCACCCTACTCCTTTGAGCCACAGGTGCTGCCCTATCTTTTTTTTTTTTTGAGACAGAGTCTCACTATGTCACCCTCAATAAGAGTGCTCTAGCGTCACAGCTCACAGAAACCTCAAACTCTTCGGCTTAAGCGATTCTCTGGCCTCAGCCTCCCGTGTAGCTGGGACTATAAGCACCCCTCACAATGCCTGGCTATTTTTTGTTGCAGTTGTCATTGTTTATTTGGCCCGGGCTGGGTTCGAACCTGCCAGCCTTAGTATATGTGGCTGGCGCCGTAACCACTGTACTATGGGCGTCGCGCCCCTCTTTATCATTTTTAAGTGTACAGATCAGTGGCATTAAATACCCGCAGCATGTGCACCCATTGCCGCTGAGTCTCTCCATAGCTCTTTTTCCATCTTGTAAAACTGAAACTTCATACCCATTAAACAAACCCCCCAGGGGAGCCGCCCGTTGCTCTGTGGTTAGAGCACCAGCCCCATGTAGCAGGGCTGGCAGGTTCAAACCTGGCTTGGGCCTGCTAAATAAATTGTAAAAAATAAATTTATGCTAAACAACACCCCTGCCCCCTTACCACACCTCCAGCTCCTGGTAACCACCATTGCCACTTCCTGTCTCTATGAATTTGACTAAGTACCTCCGAGAAGTGGAATCACTTTGTCTTTCTATGATGGGCTTATTTCACTTAACATAATGTCCTCAAGGCTCATCCATATTGTAGCATACATCACAATTTTCTTTTTCTTTCTTTTTTTTTTTTTTTTGAGACAGAGCCTCAAGCTTCACCCTAGATGGAATGCTATGGCATCACAGCTCATAGCAACCTTCAACTCTTGGGCTCAAGCGATTCTGCTGCCTCCGCCTCCCAAGTAGCTGGGACTACAGGTGCCCGCCACAACGCCCGACTATTTTTTGGTTGCATCCATCATTGTTGTTTGGCGTCCTGGGCTGGATTCAAACCTGCCAGCTCAGGTGTATATGGCTGGTGCCTTAGCTGCTTGAGCCACAGGCGCCAAGCCAAGAACTTTCTTTCTTCTTAAGGCTGAATAATATACTGTTGTATGTATGGACTGCATTTTGTTTATCCATTCTTCTGTCAATGACACTTGGGTTGCTTCCATGTTTTAGCTATTGTGAGTAAGTGCTATGCACATGAGTGTACAAACATCTCTTTGAGAACCTGCTTTCAAATCCTTGGGGTAGAGACCCAGAAATGCAATTGCTGCATTATAGGGTAACTTTACAATGAGATTTTATTTTATTTATTTATTTATTTATTTTTGGAGATAGCATTTCACTCTGTTGCCCAGGCTAGTGGCACCAGCCTAGTTCACAGCAACCTCAAACTCCTAGGCTCAAGTGATCCTCCTGCCTCAGCCTCCCAAGTAGCTAGGACTACAGGCCCGCCTCCAGGCCTGGCTAATTTTTTCTATTTTTTGAGGAGATGGGGTCTTGCTCTTGTTCAAGTGGGTCTCAAACTCCTGGGTTCAAGGAGTTTGATCCTCCTGCCTCAGCCCCCCAGAGCATCAGGATTATAAGCGCGAGCCCTCATAACTGATCTAATTTTAATTTATTGAAGAACCACCCTACTATTTGCCACAGTGGTTATACCATTTGTATTTCTACTAGCAGTGAGTGCACAAAGGTTCCAATTTCTCCACATCCTTGCCACATGGGTTATTTTCTTGTATTTTTTAAAAATTCTTCTTTCTCTAACCTGCCTCTCCCCCCAGGGAGCCCACCGGCAAGTCCTGCGGGTACCACCTCCAGAATCCCTGTGCACTTTCTCCCCCGCTGCTGCTACCACCCTGGTCCAAGTCCCACCGCCATCTAGTGGTACAACACTTCCACAGTCTCCTCCCTGGCTCACCCCCAAGTTCTCTGCCGCTATATCCGTGTTTCCAGCTCACATCAGATTCTCTCTCATTCTTGCCTACAACTCTTCAATGGCTTAGCTTAGACTTAAAATCTATGCCAAAACCCTCACCCTGGCCTTCGAAACCCTCACTAATCTTTTCTCTGCCCCATCTCCCCACTTGGACCTTCCTGTTGGGTTTGGTCTTGCCCAGTGACTTAACGTTGCTGCTGACACTGCCTAGAACACTCTTGTCCCCTTTTCTGTGAGTGGCTCACTTTTTGTCATTCAAGCCTTTTTTTTTTTTTGGCCAGGGCTGGGTTTGAACCCACCACCTCTGGCATATGAGGTCGGTGCCCTACTCCCTTGAGCCAC